GAATGAGCTTGTAGCAGCAAGGCTACTGCTGTACACTTTAGAAACATTAACAAGTCAGATACCAGGACAAAACCAAATGAAGGATGTACTCTCACTTCTCCTTCAAAAGCACAAAACCTTTCAGCACTCTTTCATTGGACAACTGCAGTTTGACAATATTCATATCCCGTACCCCCGGCACATTAACTTACCAATTATAACATGTGGTTTCTTTGCCAAGGCCAGAGATTGAGACATGGAGTCAATTCCACCCACAATAACCGCTGCAGGGCAAACAGAATAGAGTGAACCTCTCAGTGTAGCACCAGCCAGCCCACAGCACCACAGTGTTTCCTCCTACTCCCTGCCACTTACAACTCCGTATAAATGAAAGGCTACTTAGCTTTATGAGAATTCGCTTTATTTTAGCACACCTAACCTTCCCAGGCCTCTTAAGCCATACAATTAAGTCCTTACTGGCCCCAGGTATTTTATTTTCACAGTTGAAGAGTTACAGGCAGAATCTATTCCTTGCAGCTTAACTCAGCTGCAAAAATCTCAGAATTCTAAAAATACCCACAAAGCTTCTATGTTTGTAGAGAATGTCTGAAGAACCAACACAGACAGTCTGAAGGAAAGATTAAACTACATCACACTACAGAGTGGAGCTCTATCCAGTTTCACTGGACACAAACTTACTATTGAGAAGATTCTCTTCTACTTCCATCTTAACCGTTTGGACAGAAAATCCAGAAGAGCTGCAGACTACTCCATGAGGAAAGACCATACAGTTTTTCTTTCCCAAACCTGATACCAGATCTCTGTCTTCCAGCATCACAAGCTTTTCTCACCTTTTGTTCAACCCTCCATACAAATACTCTCTACTTTTTGCTTTGCAATCTAGAGTTGACAAACTTCAGTCCTCAGGAAAACTGCTCCAATATCACAAAGCTACTTACTACTGTGGACACCGATGGAGGATCCAAGAGCTTCAAACTGCTCCGAGATTTGGAAAGCCAGCTCCCTTGTTGGTGTGAGGACAAGAGCAAATAATCGCTGAGGTGTTTCCAGCAGTGCTTGAAGAATTGGCAAAGCAAAGGCTCCTGTTTTTCCAGAGCCAGTTTCTGCCAGTCCAATGACATCTCTGCCTACAAGGAGCAGCAAGAAGGGTAAAACCTGTTACAAATCTAGACCAGAGAAAGAGGCCTTTAAAGCAGTGTGCAATAAAGCACAAGAATTCCCTAAGGACAGGAAAAAAAAGGAGACACACAAAGGATAAAGAACAACAAAGGGCCAAAACAAAGAATTTCAGAATATCTTGGGACCATTTTTAGAGTGTGATTTCATTTCTACAATAATTACAGTCTCGATCCTTTCTATTCTCTGGTTAAACTGCTGCCAACATACAGGTTTTCATACAAACCTTATGTTCAAAAAAAGCTTTACTTCATTATTTCTCAAATCTGCCTGTCTCTTTAGAGCCTATTGCTTCTATCTTTGTAAGTATTCTCGACCAACTGTTGTCTGTTTACTAGCTTACAAGGAAATAGGCTCCAGTGTTTGAGACTTAGGTCACACCAACTACAAGACAACAGCACTACCAAGCTCACATTTCACAAGCCACAATCAATACTGTGCCATTAAGAGAATAATCTAAACTGGTTTGCAGCAGGAAGGATTAGGACAGCAAGTCCTTTGCCCAAAACCAGTGCAGGCAACAGGGTAGAATTCATCAGTAGAATCCATTCTGAACTCCTAAACTCCTCCAGCTGAGAAGAAGATGCTACCAACACACCTTAAAGTGGAAACAACTTCTCAGGAATTCAATCTTACTTTTTTTTTTCCCCAAGAGAATCTTATATGTGGAGTAAAAGAGTCTGACAACAGTTAAGTACTAGGACAGAGTAGACACTGAAAGTTTATTCTCATTCTGTCACTACACTGTTCTGCTCCTGTTTGACAGTGTTTCGTTTTGGTCATTTGATTTTTGTTTGGTTTTTTTGTGTCTGTTGTGGGTTTTTTTTGTTTGTCTGTTTGTTTTTTTAAAAAAACACTAAGTATTCTAGAGGCAGAAATGTCTGCTGAATTCAGTAATTTATTTTCCTGTAATTCCAGGTTGTTTACAGAAAGTCACTGTGATTTGGTTATTACTCATTCCAGAGTCTATTTTCAAAGAATTGCCTGTTCACAGAAAAGCAGAGTATACAAGCTACGTAATCAGTCAAGGCATCTCCTATTTCAGACACACACTGTAGGTCTCTACCAGAAGAGGCATAGTCCTAAGTCTATCAGAAGTTTCCTGTGTATCCAGGAATATTTCAGAAAGAAATTGGTCAATGCAGACTAACAGCCCAAACAACTGACAACTATTCTATTTAACATGGACTGTCAGAACTACGCAATGGTAGTGAACACTCAAGAACCCACGTTTGCACCCATTTGAAAGTCTGCAATTGCAGGCAGTGTTACAGGAGAAACTGGCAGGCCAAGCTCCACCTGGGAAGGACACAAGAATGAACAGAGAGACGACTACTTGACAGAGATATTTAATGACAAAGAAGCGAGAACACTCTCACCCCTGCCACTTACGTCTCACTCAACAAAATTCATTCACATAGAGCTCTTGGGGTATTCCCAGATTCAGGATCAGAGAAGCACACTGCTTACCTTGGAGAGCCACTGGAATAGCCTCAACTTGGATCTTCGTTGGCACCTTCCATCCTAACTGGTCACAAGCTTCACAGAGGACATCTGTCACTCCCTGAACGTTAGTGGAAAGAGAAAAGGGAAACAGACATCACCAAGGAGACCCAAATTAAACCCAAAGTTAAATACATGCTGCAAAAGAGCTGAGCTTGTCTCTGGCAAAGAGAAACCCCATCAGGCCCTCAATGCAACTAACTGAAAAGGCAGGCTGCTCACTGTGATCCCCAGGTCCACCAGTAACTTCATAGATTTGTTCAAAACTCTTAAAGGTGACTGCCATCAGTAAGAAACTAGTAATTTTTTTCCTAGTTTACACAAGGAACTTTACACACACGCACAGAGATGTCTCTCTTCCCCCCTGGGAGTATCCTCTGAACACGGAAAAAGGAAAACGTCTGGGCAAGTTAACACAACTGAAAATACAGGCAGCCGGCTGAGAAGCACAGAGCGGAGCAGCAACGCCAGCCTCACCGGAGCAGAGGCCTGAACTCCCCGGACCTCCTGCCCGGGCACAGCACCACGCCCGCGGATCCACGCAGCGATGGCGGCACACGTGTCTGCTTCCCCGCGCACCGGAGGCTCTGCCGGGCCTGGGGCCGCCTGCAGCCCACG